TATTTAAAATTAAAGTTTGCTACACTTTCCTTTTTGGGATGTATTTAAAAATTTGCTAAACTTTTCCTTTTTGGTAAGTTTTTCCTTTAAAAATACTCTATTACTCTTACTTTTTTTACTTTTCATCTTCATTTTCATATTTTTACACTATCTCCTACTTTTTCTATACTATTCATTACCTCTACCAGGGCCGGCCCTGCCCATGTGCAAGAGGTGCAGCTGCACAGGGCCCATTTTCTAGGAGGGCCTCCAATTTATTTAAATCCATTAGAAATTATAGCAGGCATTACGGAGCGTATTACAGATTTTAACATTTGGGCATTGTGTCACACCTCTTTATTGGGCCTCGCATTATGACTCTTGGAAAGAAAGAAATAATAGAGCATTAATAATACGAACGAATTCCGATGATCGGTATTAATTAAAACTAAGTGTGGGCTTAAGTGTTCATAAATGATAAAATGGCACTTTTCTCTTCTCAATCGAAATTCAATACTCTGGTTTACAAGACTAGACTTCTCAAATCTCAATTGCGAATAGAAACAACTAGTCTGTGGGTTTGATTTTAGATTTATGAACTCCCTCAATAAAAATTGATGAACTGTTACATGGGACTCTTCTATGAAATTAGAGGCTAGAGCCACAAAGTCTGAATCTCTTCTATCTTCATCGCTTGAGCCATCCATGGCGGTAATACACTAGTTTTTGTCGTTTTAGACTCCAGTGCAACTGTGCAAGTCTAACACCGAGGTTTTGTTCCTTTTACTCCTTTTAGCTTATTAATGATTTATTTATTAAATTGGACTGATCTCATCAGTGGAAGTCTGGAAGAATTGTGAATAATGGGGGCAGTGCTTCCATTTCATTTCTCGAATATTTATGTAGAGCACTTTTTTTTGTTTGGGAGTGTAGAGCACTTCACTACAAAAGATATCAATCGTGCAGTGCTTTTTTATTTAGAATGTTAGCATGTCTTCTAAAATTTAAAAATATCAATCTGAAAATGTATGTCTTTTATGCTTTATACCAAGGGCCTCCTCGATAGTTTGGAACAGGGCCTCTAAAACATTTGGGCCGGCCCTGACCTCTACTATTCTATCTTTAAATATTGTGCCCAAATTATTGTAGTGAACTTTTTAAATAGGAAGTGAGTATATGAATGTACACACTTTAATTTTATACAAGTGGTCTTGCACTTTGAGTGCTCATGAGTTTCTCGAGAAAGATAGTCTAAAAATCATTTATAGACGGGCAACAATTCACAAACAACTGAAAGTCTGAAACAAGTAGATACGTACAACTTAAAAAAAAATACTCGTACACTATCATAATACGAAGCAATTAAAAAGGCACAATTGTGTATTTACCCTCAGGGTACGTTTGGTTCAAGGTAATTCTTCATGCAGACCGGAATCTGATATCCGGAATAAGAGATATCCATGTTTGGTTCGCGTGTTTAAATTTTTCCCAGGAATGTCACATTCCTTAAAAGAGAATAAAGGAATGAGATGGCTGGTAATGTCAAACTCAACCCTCTCTTAGGTTATCCTACATTCCCTCTTAGTTATAAGTTTTCTTCTAAGATTACCCTTGCTCATTAAATTAGAAGAAGCATACTAGGATCTCTTCTCCAACCACTTCTTAAAAAAAAAAAGTCGTCACTGAGCTTTGCACCAAGTCTGGGATGGAGAAATAAAGAAATCACTCAAATATGTTTTCTCCATTCTTTCTTTTTACATCATAGCATTCTTCTTCTAAATTATCTCCATAGTTATTTACTAATGTTCACTAATCAACACTAATCCTTATGATTTTGCCATTAAACATACTTTTCTTTAGAATTATTCAATAAATTTTGATTTTATTTATTATTGAGATATTTCATTTTTTTATTTAATTTAAATTACTTTAAATGTATGTTGTAATAAGTTTGTTGTGTTAAGAGAAAATATTTGAAGGGCATTGAAGTAATTCACCAAATTAGTAATATAAAATAGCATTCAACCAAACAAAATAATATCACATTCCATTGATCTTAACCAAACACAAATGAGATACAAATTAAATACATTCTCATCAATCTAACATACACAGTAATTTGACATCCCCATGATAATATGACATTCCTCGAACCAAACTTACACTCATTGTTTTCATCGATCGGTAATCCATTAGACCATTTGTAGTGGTTAGGAGGCTAAACAAGTTAAAAATGGATTCCGTCCATATGAAAACAGTGTTTAGCCTCTTATTCTTTGCATCCCAGCACCATCAATATAATACACCCAACATATTTTTTCACATATCAATTTAGTAAAACATTAATAATATTATTATAAGTAATATTTTCAATATAATTTTTTCCCTAAATAATTATGAAATAAAAAATACATATTTCGATGTAAAAATAAATAAATTTCATTATTATTATTTTACGGTTTTCGGTTAACAAAAAATGAACTTAGTCCAAGTAAAGTTTTATTATGGAATATTCAGTTATTTGTAGAGGATCAATGAATTAAAAAATTGTGTTTTGTGTTTTTTCACGCTCAAGACAACTCCAATAGTTAAAACTTAAGATTTTTTTCATTTTATATATTACATATTAGTGTCATATGAAAGATAATAAAATTCATAAATTTTGATATATTTTTTGAAAAAATTGAAGAACAAATAAAAATGTTATAAGAGTTTTAAAAAAATTGGGGTTATAATGATGCAGGGATGATATCATCCTCACATCCACACAATGCATTCTCGGTCATTGTCTTCCCTGTTTCTTTTCTTTTTCTTTTTCTCACTCCTACCAACTCACCCTCTATTTCTAACACCATTCATCTCCTTTTCCACTTTTAATATCCTATTTAGAAGCTGTTCTCTTCACCTGATCTGAATGTTTCTGATCTGAATATTTTAAGTTCTGATTTGATCTGAATTTTTCTGATCTGATCTGATCTGAATCTTTCTGGTCTGATCTGAATGTTCCTAATCTGATCTGAATGTTCCTGATCTGATCTGAATGTTCCTGGTCTGATTTGAATGTTTCTGATCTGATCTGAATCCTTCTGATCTGATTTGAATCTTTTTTATCTGATCTGATTTGAATATTTCTAAAATTATAATTACAATTATAATTACTATAATTATAAATGTAATTACACATATATAATTTAAATATAATTATAATTATAATCATAATTACAAACATTATAATTATAATTACAAACATAATTATAATAGGTATAATTATTATTATACGTATTACACTAGTTATAAATATAGTTATAATTATAATTGTAATTATATTTATAGTTATATTTATTTCTATAATTTTAATTTTATTTATAATTATAATATTTATTTCTATAATTTTAATTGTAATTACTCCGTATAATATGATAATAACGAAAACAAAACTAATAACAACAACAACAACAACAACCATATTAGTAGTAAGAATAATAATAATCACGATAATAATAAATATCATAATAACAATAATAATAATAATAATCATAGTAATAATAATAATAGTAATAATAAGAATAATAATAATAATAATAATAATAATAATAATAATAATAATAATAATAATAATAATAATAATAATAATAATAATAATAATAATAATAATAATAATAATAATAATAATAATAATAATAATAATAATAATACTAATAATACTAATAATAATAATAATAATCATATAATAATAATAATAATAATAATAGTAATAATAATAGTAATAGTAATAGTAATAGTAATAGTAATAGTAATAGTAATAGTAATAGTAATAGTAATAGTAATAGTAATAGTAATAGTAATAGTAATAGTAATAGTAATAGTAATAGTAATAGTAATAGTAATAGTAATAGTAATAGTAATAGTAATAGTAATAGTAATAGTAATAGTAATAGTAATAGTAATAGTAATAGTAATAGTAATAGTAATAGTAATAGTAATAGTAATAGTAATAGTAATAAGAATGACAATGACAATGACAATGACAATGACAATGACAATGACAATGACAATGACAACACTACAACAAAATAGACATTTTGTAACACTTTGATTGCAACACTTATTTTTGTTGTTGCATATGTCACTAGGAATTTAGTTTTGCAACACTTGCTTTTATGTGTTACATAAAAATCTAAATTATTCAATTATGCAACATTTAGTATAAAGTGTTGCATAAGATTCAATTTTATGTATAACTTATTCTAGAATGTTACATTTTAGAGAGTGTAAAGTGTTGCATGATATATACGTTTTGCTATAACTTACAAAAAGAAGGAAACGTACCCAAGGATACAGAGAGTGTCTGCAAAAATGTAAAAAGTGTTTTTCAATTTCTTGTTAAAAAAAATTAAATTAGTGTTTTTCAATGACAATTTCTACTTAGATTAAACATTTAAATGCTAAAAGTTGGAGTGAAATTTCCTGATTTGGTGTAATTATCTGGTCTAAATTGATCTAGTCTAGTTTAGTAAATGTCTGATTTCTATGTATTTTATAACTGCATGAGTTTGGTTTGATTTGATCAGATCTATTCAAATTTTATTTGGTTTGGTTTGTTTAAGTTTAATCTGATTTGTTTGATTTGAACTCAAAACAGTCCAAATAAAAAAAACGCTTTTCGGTTTTTTATGACACAAAAAACACATTTCTTACTAGGTGCTATCAACTTTTTCCAAAAATACTTTAAAAATCATCTTTTAAATAAAAAAGGAATTAAAAATCACCTTTTTTTATCATATTAAAATTCTCCTTTTAAAAAATTACCCTTTTAAAAAATCACCTTTTTTATTAAAGGAGTTTTTGCGGTTGCTTAAAAAAACACTTTTCAACTTTTGACTTTCAAAAAGCTAAAAAGAGTGTTTTCAAATGACAACTTATGTTTAAATTAATTAATGGCTTAGTACTTATTTTCCCACACGACCAAATTTTTAGAATATTTTCTGTACTCAGTAATTCTTTTGCATAGCGTTTTATTTTGCTACTATCGATTTCTTTCGAATAGGGTTCAGAGAAGCGGAAGGCGACGGAGCCGCCGCCGCCGCCGCCGCCGCCGCCGCCGCCGATTTGGACTCGTCATCTCTGTCGATTGTCATGGGCACTGGTTCCACCGCGAAGCACGCCGTGGATCGTATCGAAGAGCTTTTGAGTCAGGGTAAGCTGAAGAATACTGTCGAGATACCAACATCGCGGAAGACTCACGAGCAGGCCGTCTCTCTGGGCATTCCGTTATCTGATTTAGATTCCCACCCTGTTCTAGATCTTAAAATCAACGGGGCAGATGAGGTCGTTACGAATATGAATCTGGTAAAGGGAAGGGGTGGTCGGTTCTCCGGAAGATAATGGTGGAGGCCGCGTGTAAGAAATTCGTGGTGATTTTTGACGAATCAAAGCTTGTAGGCCATATGGGAGGCAGCGGGCTAGCGATGCCGGTCGAGATTGTTGCGTTCTGTGGAGTGAGCTTATTCTATGGGGTCACGAGGCATCCGTCAACTAGCTTACAATCTTTCATTGCCTGGCACCACTTCTATTGCCAGGTACATCTCTTCCACGATATTTTGCTACATGTGTTTTTATGATGTATGTAGTATATTTAACATTGAAATATTTTGTGAATTCAGGGTTCGGTTTTGTATATCCTTTTGCTTAGGTTTGTTGATTCAGTCGCTATAAATTTGAGCTGGAATGTTAAAAGGTTAGGTTTGGAAGTTCTAAGTTACTATGCCTTTAAGGTGTTTGTAATAATTCCTCAATAACTTTTTCAATTTTAAATCATCCTCTTAAGTCTCTGCCTGCTAAAAGTCAAGTACTTTTTTTGTAGTGTCAAAAATGTATAACACACTTAACTTACATGCAGTGTTACCTTGTGCTTTAATAACCAAGAAGTAACTTGAATACATCAACCATTTCAATGAAATGATTCGTTTTACATATTTGGTACCATGCTTGGTAAATATAGTCCAACAATTTTACTTTTACATTCTCAAGACGTATATTTTATTAACATTACATTCTTTTTTATTTAAGAGTTTAGGAAATTCACATGTAATCCCAAGCCATATACGTTACTACTCTACTTTCAATCTGGACTGCATATATATAATATACTTTGGATGTGAGCAACATCAAAAGAAGATATAAACAATATGAATTTTTCCTCTTCCTATTGCTTTCATGCTTATAATGGCGAGAAACTTTTGTTTGTAGATCTTGATTGTGATGAACTAAAGCCCGGAGTATGAGATAGTATGGGGAATGAGATATCTAGTGCAAAAATAATAGTACTACTATCACAGAGTAATTACTTTTTCCTTCTTTTACATTTACTGCCAATTGCCAATGATCATGGTGCATCTGTTTTGAGCAGTGGTAATCTTGATGGGGTAAATCTAAAGAACTGTTTTGTCCATCTGTCAATTTGTTCACGTAAACCACGACGGTGATCTTTTGAATGCAACTTAGAATCATACAATAGTTAACTTCAATTGCTGATTTTTTTATTGTTTCAGGATTAATTCCTTTTTTGTTTACGTATTTTCCTATGCTTTATGCCTCAAATTTATGTTGTTGAGGACTTGATGGCTCAAGATTATTTTACCGATGAATATTGCAGAATATAATAAACCATGGCTTCTATGAATCGTCCACGAGAAACTGATGTTTCCACTTCCAGACAGAGGTTCAAATGATGTACCCTATACGCGTGCAACTTTTTCTTTAATTCTTTAAAATTAAACAGTTTACTTAATTATATATTCTAAATCTAATCTGACCTAATGCTTGCTTTAGGTACTATTGCGTACAAATTGAGATAGCCTTTGGTGTTCCGTGTTCCATGAAGCTTAAACATTTCTTGCAGCAGGTAATTTGTTTATGATATTAATTTAAGTCATTTTTTACATGAACAAGTTTGAACTTGTCAAACATGAACTGTAGAGAATTAATTTGCTTCTATCAAATTTGCTATCGTGGTTCAAGAATCTAGATAGTGCTGCCATCTCACTGAACATCAGGCTTAACCATTAATCTTTAAATCTGTATTGTTTGTGTTAATTAGATATCACTGCTGGTGTTAATTTGATAAATATATGACGCACTTTCTCCCTCACTTGCAGGCAAACAATAATGATGAGAGTTTAAGCCTTAAGGGAAGACTGTGTCGCACCAACGATGTTAACACATTGAATGAAGTTCATTAAACCAAGGAAAGAAGAGAGCTGTAGTTGATGGATATTTTATGTTACGTTAAAGGAGAAAGAAATTGTCAAATTTATGTTATTTTAGACAGAAGATGACAGATACTTTTTTAAGTTCATATGATTTTGATTGTATCAATACTAATATATTAGAGGTCTTGGTACATAATCGTAATTTATGTTGCACAATTTTATAATATGTGTTGCTTATAATTATATCAAATTGTTGCCATTGTCAATAAAAATGTTGCATGAATTATCAATGAAGTGTTGCGTAATATAAATTTAGTGTTGCATAGGTGTAGAATAAATATGTTGCGTTAATACCAGGGAGTGTTGCATAAAGTCTTAATTTAAGTGTTGCTTTTCATTCAAAAACTGTTACAGAAGACGTGTGTTGAAGTGTTGCAACAAAGTGTTACATATGAGTTAGTTATGCAACATTTATTTTTAATGTTGCTTAAGATGCTTAAAAGTGTTGCGTATCACTTTATGTAACGAGACCTGAAGTAACGCTCACAAAAGTGTTGCTTATGCCTTTTGTAACATTTTAACAGTCATATGTAACATTTTTTAAGCGTTACATATGGTCTATTTTGTTGTAGTGCAATGACAATGACAATGACAATGACAATGACAATGACAATGACAATGACAATGACAATGACAATGACAATGACAATGACAATGACAATGACAATGACAATGGCAATGGCAATGGCAATGGCAATGGCAATGGCAATGACAATGACAATGACAATGACAATGACAATGACAATGACAATGACAATGACAATGACAATGACAATGACAATGACAATGACAATGACAATGACAATGACAATGACAATGACAATGACAATGACAATGACAATGACAATGACAATGACAATGACAATGACAATGACAATGACAATGACAATGACAATGACAATGACAATGACAATGACAATGACAATGACAATGACAATGACAATGACAATGACAATGACAATGACAATGACAATGACAATGACAATGACAATGACAATGACAATGACAATGACAATGACAATGACAATGACAATAACAATAACAATAACAATACCAATACCAATAACAATAACAACAACAACAACAACAACAACAACAACAACAACAACAACAACAACAACAACAACAACAACAACAACAACAACAACAACAACAACAACAACAACAACAACAACAACAACAACAACAATAACAATAACAATAACAATAACAATAACAATAACAATAACAATTGCAATACCAACAACAAGAATAATAATAATTATAATTATTATAATTATTATAATTATTATAAATATTATTATAATTATTATTATTATAATAAAAAGGATAAATCATGTCTGAACTTTTCTGATCTGATCTGAACTTTCCTGATCTGATCTGAATGTTCCTGATCTGATCTTAATGTTCCTGATTTGATCTGAATGTTCCTGATCTGATCTGAATGTTTCTGATCTGATCTGAATCTTTCTGATCTGATCTGATCTGATCTAAATTTTTCTGATCTGATCTGAATAAAATAAGAATAAGTAATAAGATTAAGACGAACAGAACAGATTCTTAGCCTTTCACTACCTGAAAATAGGAGTCCAAAAATTTCATCTTTAACATTTTGGACTCCTAATACGACACCACTCCAAATGGCCTTACCATTGATTATCTAATCACATATTCGATAACCACATTATAAAGTTCTTTCTATACATAAGTGTTCTGAAACGAAAATAACAAAAAAAAGAAATCCATGTTCATGACAATTATATTTACTATGCTTTGTGTGCATCTTTTGGACCTTAGATTTAAACCTTCATCACCAATTAATTTTTATTTCTATCACACGGTCATCTGTCATTAGGTCTAAAGCATCTAAAAATACACAAAGTATACGCTTTGAGACTTTTGGCTCCTTATCGACTTCGCGCATGAGACCGCAACTAATCCCATAAGAGCATGCATCTTCATTCATGCTACTCAAATTAACGGTTTTTCATGGTTTTATTATCGCCACATCATTGACACGTAAATAATCTCAAAACATATCAATTTAATCTCAATCATGATCTCAATTTACCTAGATTTTTTTTTACATACAATTGAATTCAATATCTCTCACTTAGTTCATTAAATGTACCCACAAGCCATGTACACTCACAAGCACTCTTCATATTCTACATATATACACGTAATAAATATACATATATGTGCACACAAAAGTAAAAAACAAATCCTGGAAAAACATACGTAGTAGAAAAATGCACACATGCACTAAATCAACCTATTATAATACTCCGTACTATACTATACTACGTATATAATTATATATGTACAATTATAATGAATAAGTTATTACAAATATCTAGGAATACAACTACTATACTCCAAACCTTCAATCTTCACTAGTTTGATTTTAAATAGATCTATATTTATCTTTTGTTAAATATAAATTGCACACAAACTGCAAATACGAAATAGTGTCAAATGGTTTCCGTTCCCGGCCATAATTTGGAATTAATAGTTTACTCGAGAAAAGATTTGCAAGGCATGGAGAATGGTTACTTTTAAGTTTAATTCCAAGAGTCATCATGCGTGTAAAACTGTAAATGTATTGGGAGTTGAGAATGTCTAAAAGTTGGAAATTCTCAAAATAATCCAGCTTTAGAATTTGATACCAGATTATTTTATCAAATAATCTCATAAAATAATCTCAACTCCTCATTCATGATCCCAAAAAAAATCCACCATGTCATCAAAATGATCCCAAAAATAATCTATGGATGAGGATGCCCTAAAAAGATCATTTCCTCTCTTCTATTTGCCTCTTCTAAGTTCTTCCCTCTCACACTTATGTTGATATTTCTAGTTATCAAGGATTGTGATTGCAATGGGCTTCGACAACAACTAGACACGTACGTCATACTTGTACACCGTGCACATTACCAGTGGCGGAGCCACTCTAGTTCCAAAGTGTTCACATGAACACTCAAATTTTTTACAAACATGCAAGTATATGTGTATAAATTTAGTATCATTATTTAATACTCTTTACATTTTTAGTTGTAAAAAAACATTGAACACCCAAAATGTAAATTCCAAATCCGCCACTGCACATTACGCACCATGGCAACCACTCGCAATTAGCAATATTCGACATAACAAACTCACAATGAAATAAAAGACTATTACTTAAAGGGATATTTTGACTTTGCACCCCACTTTTTGGGTGATATTGGACTTTGCACCCTATTTTCAAAACTCTTAGACTTTGCACTCTATTTCCCCTAAAATGTCTGTCTTTCCACCCCACTCAAGATTTTTTTCTTCACAAAATGTTGTAAATAGGGTGCAAAGTGTAAAAGTTTTGAAAATGGGGTGCAAAGTCCAATATCACCAAAAAGTGGGGTGCAAACTCAAAATTCCCCTTAATTAAATGCATATTTTTAAGTTTTATTTATTGTCTTGTCAAGTACCTTGTGGTGTGATGACACTATGACACTTCCAAAAGGGGGTCACAAGTTCGAATCACATCTCAGTTCAAGAATGTTGACCTTAATATAACAGATACTATAATAGGTTAGAAAGATTTACCCTAAAAGATTTGCCCTAAAAATGTTTTTAAAATGTTGACTTTTGTTCATGTATAAAAGCAACCACTTATTTGAATTGAAGATTCAACATTCAATATTGTGGAGTACTATATACTCTCTCGGCTCTCCATTCCGCTAATACTGTCAATATTTTCGTTTCGGTTCGTTCCACTAAAATTGTCCCTTACCTAATTCGGTAAAGTTTATGTAGTTCTAAATCATTTTTACCTTATTAACTCAATATCAATTACATAAACTCATTTTTTTATTAACCGTGTCACCTCCTAATGTCTCAATCTTCATGGGACGACGCTCTTATTATTTATGAAAAAACTCCTATAATATACCAAAAATAAGTTAAATTCAGACAAAACATACTCTACAAGAAATGAAATGGGATGGAATGCTTAGATGGTTAACTAGTTTGGGATTTATTGTAAACTCTAGTTTCGGGTTTTAGTAGTAAAATCGAATAAATGCAGGGTCTTTATTTTTTGAAATTTGGAGCATCTATATTAATGCCATCAAGAAACTACCCAGAAACAGTAGAGCCCCTATGACTACTCAGAAACACAGCTCAACACAAAAGGCAAGCAAGGAAGAATCTAATTCAACCCCGAATCTGACCTATAGACACACTCACCATTATTCCTTACGAATTTAAAGATCGAAGGAGAGGATAAGTTACTCGTTTTGCGCATTGGATTTGGCGTTCTCGTTTGTTTCATTGAATCATTGTATAGAGGGAGAGGGTAGCCGGCGGCGATGCAGAAGAGGAGGAGGAGGACGGTGGTGGTATTGCGGCAGGTGCTAACATGCGCCATATGCGCAATAGCCCTTCTAGCGCTGTTTTCCGTACATGTTCAGATGACATTCCCATCCTCAGGAGTAACCAAGCTCCCCACGGTAACTTCCCTTCTCCTTTCTCTTCCGAGCTCTCCATTGATTTCTCGTTTCATGACTCTGTATCTCGTTAGGGCTTCATTTTTTTTTCAGCATCTTGAAAGCAGGCATTATATCTTAGTCGGTTAGTTTTAGCTTTCCAGAAACTTCGAGATTGATGCAGATTTTAGGATTCCAATCCGTATTAGTTTATTCGTAGTCTATTTTCTCTAAATCTTATCACCTAATTAGCTCTAATGTAAGAACATTTAGAGCCATTTTATATGCAATGTGTGGACGTCTTTATTTGGCCATCCAATTACCAGTTCTTGCTAATATATTTATTGAGATTTGATCATGATCCAGTTGTTTACTGTTGTAGCTATATGAATTTGGGTACCAAAGACTGAGCAGGGAACGAAGTTGGACTCAAGAAATTTTCCCATCCAAATTATCAAAAGTTCCCCTACCTGCTAGCAAGGTGATTTTTTTTCCCACTAACTTGTGATTGAAGTTTGTATTATGTCGTATTTGTATTATTTATGCAGTAGTTAATTTTAAGTGTGATGTACCGATTATGTGAATATTTCTGTTAGACTGTTAGCACCGTCTTAGATTGCCATTTATTTGGTGAATGTATAGGTTTGGCATTCTGATGGTTCAAATTCGAGTTCAAATTTGGACAAGTTATGGAGACCTCCACCAAACAAAAACTATGTTCCTTGTGTAGTGCCAAGCTCATTGTACACACGTGAGGATCTGTTTTTG